TTTTTTTATTTCAATTTTTTATTTATTTATTATTTATTTATTTATTTATTATTTATTATATAGTTTTTATTTTGTTCAATTTTTTGAAAAGGTAAGAATTATAATAACACATCACATTCAATCACTCGTTCGCTCACTCACTCACACCCATAAACACACACACACACACACTCACTCACTCACACGCTCACTCACTCACACTCATAAACACATCAATCAGTACAAAATTAAACAAATGATATCATCTTGAAGAAAAAATAAAATGGATAATAAAATCGAATACCAAAAACCTATTTCTATGAGAACTTCTTGAAATAATAATTAGACTCTAATTGAGTTAATAGAATTATTGTTTTATTTATATAATCATCAGCAAAATCAAATCAAATCAAATTATATAAACAAATCACATCATCATATCATCATTTTCATAAAAAAAAAAAATTTAATCACATACACACACGCAAACACGTATACACACTCTATAACCTCTACCCACCCAATTTTTTTATCTTTTATTTTTAATTAATTAATTTTAAGTGTGTTTTGGTTTGACACGTAAAAAGCTTTGGTGCTATTTTAAAATATTCATATAATTACAATGTAAATAGCTAAGGTGCCCACTCTACCAACTTTTTAAAATAAAATAAAAATTTTCATAATAATCATCATCATCACTCTTAAAACTCTAGATTTGATTCTTAAAAAACAAAAACAAAAAAAAAAAAAGTTAAAATGTATATTGTATTTAAATATTCTCAATCTATTTTAATCACTACTTAAAATAGATTTTATTGTAATAAAATACTTAGTAAGAGTTAAAAGTATAGTATTGTTTAAAAAACCAATAAAGTAATAATAGCTAGTAATAATAGTTTTTGAGGTTATAAACCCAATTTAAACAAAACAAATTATTACTACCATTTCCCACTACCACTCTATTTATTAACTTACCACACAACCACACCCCCAAGTATTTTTTTTTTTTGTTCTAATTATTACAATATACTCCTTAAATAAATGCTGCACTACCAACTTTTGATTTTTTTTATATGTTTGTTCATGTAATTAAAATATTTAAATATAATAAAAATATTATTCATATTCAAATAAAACTATATAGGGTATAAAAAAAGACGTTGGTGGTATTTTTTTTTTTTTTGTAATTATTATTGTGTGTTTGTAGAATGGGGGTGTCATAATTAAAAAAAAATTAACACACACAAAAAACATCAAAAAAAAAACCAAGATCGATTTTATTGGTTAAAGATGTGTGTGAAATTAATAATAATAACAAAAAAAAATTTAAAAAAAAAAAAAATTTTAAAAAAAAAAAAAACAACCACAAAAATCTCCCCCCCTATTCAATTTTTTTCAATATATGTTATGCTTTCACTCACACACATATTTTTTCTATGTATTTATTAGTGTTGATTAAAATAAAAATGATAATTAAAGGAGTTGTGATTTTTTTTTATAAATATTAAAATTTAATTTAAATATTTTTTTTTGTATATTTTTTTTTTTTTTTTCTTTTTCTCCAAACTAATTAAATTTTATTATAATTTTTTTTCAAACAAATTAGGGTTCAATCTTAGTTATTTATTATAAGAAAATTTTTTATATATTTTCGAGACATCAACAATCAAAACAATAGATTTTATTTCTTTAATTTTCTTTTTTTTATCAATTAAATTCATTTAAAATTAAAATTCTTTTTTTTTTTTCTTTTTTTTTTTTTTCTATTTTAAATTTCACATCACATCACATCACATCAATCAACCAATCAATCAATAACATCAATCATTCTTTATTTATTTCATTCTCTATTTATTATTATATATAAAATTATCTATTTATAACTTTCTTATTCAATTTTATTAATTTTATAAATTTTATTTCAATAAAATTCCAACTACCACCACATCAACAACCACCAACAAAAAATAATCTGTTACTATATATAACTAGATATAATAACTATTTTTTTTCAAAATACATACATCATCATCCATTATTTCATTCATTATTTTTTAATATTATTCTTTTTTTTTAAAAAAAAAAAAAAGGGAAATATCTTTTAATTATTATTATAATGCATTTTTATAATTATATTAATACTAATTTTTAATTTTTTAATTTTTATTTTTATTTTTTTTAATTTTTTTTATTTTTAAAATCATTAAAAAAAAATCTTTTTTTTTCTTTTTTTTTTTATATTTTTTTTATTTATGTCTAAACATCGCTCCACTTAAAATTTTCTAGATATTAAATTTTTTCAAAAAAAAAAAAAAGAAATCTTTTTTTTAGAATAATCCAAAAATAATAATCAATAAGTAAAGAAACACTCTTCTTTTTTTTTTTCAAAAAAAAAAAAAAACCAAATTAAACAATGGAATCAGACTATTTATTAGATCCAGTTTATATAATTAATGATTTCGATGCAAGTCAAGTAGTGGTAGATATTAATCAAAATTCACTAAGTGAAAGTCAAGGTTTAATAACGATGAACCAAAAGACAACGGTCGATACACCATCAACTAATTTTTTTAATGAAATTTCATCACCAAGTTTAATGACACCATGTTCGCCTCCTACAATTTTAATTAATCAACAATTACAACAACAAATCAATAGTTTTAACCAATTTTCGAGTAATAATAGTACACCTATGATGTCGAATAGTAATACTACAACAACTACACCAGTTTTATCTTTTACATCAAGTACTCCAAATACGTCATCATTTTTACCAATTAAATCCCAATTAAATAGTGCAACATCAACATCACCAAATAGTACAATTACATCACCAATTATTACATCATCAACTACCGGCTCAAATCTATCATCTACACCCAATATGATCTCTCAGACATCATCATCACCATCAATATATCAAATGGGTTACCATAATCCTGAAATGTCACCACATACACACGAACACTTTTTAAAATTGCTTACACAAATTCAACAACACCAACAACAATCAATATCATTTCAACAAAATCATGAATATATTAATAATAAAAATATACAACCTTTACCTGATATTAAAAAAGATACACAATCATCACCTACAAATACAGGTCTAGTTGAAGAGATGATCCCAACTATAATCACCACTTCAATGTCAACTCCAATAATTTCACCATCACCATCCCCAACTCCAATATCAGATCAACAACAACAATTCAATAGCAATAATACTAATGGCGCAGTTGAAACAACTATTACATTGGCAATTCCCAATAAAAAGAATTCAAGAGTTATTGCATCACCACCAAATTCACCAAGAAAGCCAAGTAATAATAGAAATAATAATAGCAAAATAAAAAATAAAACCCAACAAGTTCAAATGAATATTCAGCAACAACAACAATTACAAATGCAACAAGCACAACAAGCACAGCAGGCACAGCTACAACAACAAGCACAACAGCAACAGCAACAACAACAACAACAATTACAAGCACAAACAATGACATCACCTTTATTATCATCATCATCATCCAACTCTACACCAAATTTATCACCAACTATTAATTCAAATACATTTTCAAGTTTCAGTTTAACAAATTCGTCTCCACCAACCGCTACAAACTCAACACCACCACAATCACCACCTCTTCCACCACCACCACCAATTTTAAATACTATACCCACTGTTAAAACACCACTTTCAACACTTTCACCAAATAAAATGGGACCAACCGTTTCATCAATTGTAAAACAATTATCAACTACAAAAAAATCTTTAACAACTTCAAATACCAATATTGTAAATAATCTCTCCAATTGTACAGAAAATCTTTTAACTGCCTCAACTTCAAGCGCAACCAATAGCGAAGATAAAAAATCCATTTGTTTAAATTTCTTAAATTTCTTTTTCAATGTTAATCCAACACTTACCACTCCATCTACACGTAGACCACAAATTTTGGCATTATATGTAAATAAAATACAGCAAGAGCTTAGATATAGAAGACCAAACGATATGGCAAACCTTTGCGTAGTTCTCTATGGTTATCTTTTCTCTTCGTTGGACGAACAAACTATTAAAGATTTTATTGCCAGCCACAGTTTAAATTCTTCAAGATCGAAAAAAGAAGAAAGAAGAAAGAAAAGAAAAAGAGATTTAAAACAAGAGCAACAACAACAACAACAACAATCACTTCACCAACAAGAGGATCAAGTTTCAAAAGTTGCAAATATTAATAATGTTCTATCCCCAAGAGGTCAAATTTTAAGTCATCAATTGGAGTCTAATCATCATGATTTTTTGAATGATCATTCTCAACAACAACAATCAATGCAACACTTAAACCACGCCACTGAAGTTGAAATGAGTGCTGCCGAAGAGGAAGAAGATCCACCAATTTCATTACATGACGCATTTGTAAATTGTTTAAAATCTTGCACACTTTTACCATTTATTGAATTAAAGCCAATTTCAAATTTACCACCCACCTGCGATGTTTTGCCATTTGTTGACCCAATGTATACTCTTGATGATCTTTATAAATGGGAAAATCAATTAAAGGATTTAAAGTCATCAGCTAAAAATAATCCAATAATTCAATCATCATCAATC